ACCGTCTCAATTTTGTCGATGAGGAAAATGAGGTCCAGAGACAGGGGGAAATGACCTCTCCAAAGTCACACGACAAGTTCGTGTTTGGGGCTGGGACTTAAACCAAGATTGACTGACTTCTAATTTGGTTAGTGTCTCCACTGTACCACGTGCTTCCTCTATGAGTTCTTTGGGCCCTGACTATCGCACTGTTGGGGCATCCCCAGCCCCTGTTCTGCAGCCTCTCCGGCTCTGAATGCCTTGGCAGCCTATTTATTGAGCCTGTGGGGTTCCTGACCCAATGAGAGAAGCCCCTGAGCCAGTGAATTCTAACCTGCATGACCACAGACATAGGCTTAAAGCCTTGGTTTCTTAATCTGTAAAATGGAAACCATCATATCTTTGTCTCTGACAGGTAGTCTGATGTGGAAAGAGTACTAAACTAGATAGGGATGTCAAGAGGTCTGGGTTCTAGTTCTACCCTAGGCCAAGTAACTGTGTGACCTTGGGCAAGTGACTTTTCCTCTCCTGGCTATAGCTTCCATCTCTGTAAAATGGGGCAGCATCATCACTCCCCTGCCAGTCTTACAGTGCTGTCAGGAGGATCAGATACAGCTGCTATTAACAACGATAACGGTAATGACACCAGCAATAATAGCTGATCTGTATACAGAACTTCATGTTTAAGAAAGCACTCCCCATTTGTTACCTCATCCTACCCTCTCACCTTCTCTGTAAGGGAGATGAGGAGCAACTACTGCCACCATTTTACAGAGGAGGAAACTGAGACCCATAAAGGAGAAATAACTCCTCCAAGTACACAGAAGAGCTAGGACTCAAAACCAAGGTTTTCGAATCCCAAGTCTCTACCCCCAAAGTGCATATAAAACACTAGTCACATGTGAGAGCTGATTATAATAAAGAGAAGGCTAATGATGTACATTTCAAATACAAAGTGCTACAAAGACTTGGAAGAGAAATGCTGCTTTCTATTGTATAAGAATCCAGAGAGAAAGGCTGCATCTTTCATGTAGATCATTTTAAAAAGGGGAAACTGGATTTTCTGCCACCTCCTGCTTTGTGCCCTGGAACCTCATGATACCATCCCCTCCCTCTGATCAATCCCTGAAGAGGTAGACCTGGTCCTTGCACGGTGGGTCACTAGTCTCCCTCCTCCTGCCCTCATTTTCCGTGTTCCCGGCATGGAAGTTGGGCCGGGCCTCTGCTGATTTTCGGCCCACTTCTGCCACTCAGGGCTTCGAGTGAAGCCCGCCTCTGACAGACTCCCCTTGGACGGCCTCACAGTCCTTCCAGGTCTGTGCCCTGCCCCAAAGAGCAGATTGGAAATGAAGATGGAGGGATAACTACATCCGAGTCTCCACAGTACCTTGGGAAGAGAAGGAATCCGGAATTATTTAGCCTGAAAAACAAATCAAACTTCAGGGTTCAGAAACGGGCTATAATCCCTTAGGGATTTAGATTGAACAAGGCCCTTCCCCACAGGTAGATGTGTGAAGAAGGCTGATGGAATGTTTATACATTTTCTCATAAAGAAGATTCTCACCTGTCTGGGATGGTTTAAATGAAGCCTTTGAAAGGCTTGGATTAGAGTATTTATAGAATACCCTAAGCCAGCTAAGAAACTTGGGGGAAGAGATGTGCAGGAAGAGAAAGAACAAAAGGAAATGGGAGTAGCGCTTGTCATGACTGTTTTGCAGATGGGAAAATTCAGAGAAGGAGCCTCCCTCCTCTGGTGACCTAGGATGGCCATGAGTTGCTCCAGGCTAGGATTAGAAGCCAAACCTCTGAATTTTCTGTCTGTTTCTTTTCCCACCATACCACCCTACAATGCCCAGCCAGAAGGGCCATTTTACATAGGCCCATTTTATAGGTGAAGAAACCAAGTCATTGAGATGAACTAAATGACTTAAAAGGTTTAGAGCTGGAATAGAATTTAGAGATCTTCTCGTCTTACTGATGAGGAATTGAGGCACAGATAGGCAAAATGACTTGCCTAAGGTCAAATAATAATAGCTCACATATATAGAATGCTTTAGAGTCTACAGAAAACTGCTTATTTAATTTAATCCTCATGACAACCCTGGGAGGTAGGTGCTATTACTATCCCCATTTTACAGATGAGTAAAATGAGGCTGAGAGAGGTTAAGTGACTTGCCCAGGATTATGAAGCTGATAAATAATTGAGGGAGGATTTGAACTTGTCTCCCTGACTCCAGCTCCAACATTTAAACCACTGTACTATGCTGCCGCAAAGGCAGTAGACAGGAGATGAGGCTGAATTCAAACCCAGGTCCTCTGACTTCTGACTTAGTATCAAAGAAATTGGATCTTGGACTTGTGCTTGCCCGGACTGCATCCCAAGGCCTCCCATCCTTAAGGTCCCTTCTAGTCAATGCCCAAGAGAAGGCTCCCAGCCACCAATGTGGGCTCAGCACTCAGTGCTTCATCCTTGACTCACCAGGTTTTTCCATAGCATGGGCACCATGTGCTGGTGCAGGGGCTCTTGGCATTACAAGGAATAGTGACCCCAGCCTTGTGTGTGCAGGGCTGAGTCAGGCAGCCTTGGACAGCCATTCATTCCCTGGCTGCTGGGATGGGAGGGAGGGCAGGGAAGGGGGCAGGTCATTTCCTCTGACTCAGATCTCTTTTCTCACACAGCAGCTGCCATGGTTGGAATGTGGGCCCCTAGGTTCAATCTCTGGGCCTCCCCTCATGGGGCCGGAAAAGGGCCCCAGGTTTCCTTTAGGCCCGGGCCATCTCAGCACAGGCAGCTCATTGTCCTCAGACAAGAAAAGGACACTTATGGCCCCAGGAACAAAGGAAGAGAAAAATGTGGCTGAGCTCCGGCTGGCTCCCACATGGACGCTGCAACTGCCATACGTCAGCAATCTGCTCCCCCACCCCTCCTCCTCTTCCTTCTCTTCCCTATTCAGCTGCCTCCCTCTCCTTGGTATTTCCTGGGAGAAGCAGACAGGTCTTGGATCAAGTAGAGATCTCAGGATTCCAGACACGGTAGATGATTCAGATGGGTTTAGGAAAGAGAATCCTGGAACGTTTCATTTGCCATGAGGGCCCCTGAGCCAGGGAACAGGGAAGGCTTCTTTGGGAGAAATGGAGACGATAAGGTCTCTTGTTAAAAAGACTGGGAGCTCACTGCAGCATGGGTTCAAGTTGGAGAGACAAGTCAAAAATGAGGCTTTTGGCCTTGGCTCCCAAGTCATAGGGGAGCCCTAAGTCCACCAGAGGCTTCCTAGCCTGCCAGCTGCTCCCCCCACCCCCACCCCATTTGTAGTCTGATGGATCAGCTCTGGGGGGGCTCAGAGGCAGCTACCCCATACATGCCCTTTTAGGGGTTAGGGGCTGGGGGAGAAACAGGTTTAGTGGAATACTCTCAGACTCTCCCTCCCTTACCTCTTCACCCCAGCCTCTGCACCTCTCAGGGGATGGATGGATGAGTGCATGGACCCTCTGAGGATAAAGGGACTTTGGGAGATCAGGGTGCTCACTGGCAGTAACTCTCATGTCTCAAAACCCTCCTGCAGGCTGAGCCGGCTCCTCCTTCCTGTCTTCCTTCATGGCTTGGCCTTATGGACTGTCTTGGGATGCCTGAAACTCTCAGGGTCCTAGCCTTATAATCCTATTCATTGATCTAGCTTTTATAGCTGCCCTTTCTGGGCATCAGATCACAGAGGAAATCCATTTAACTCTTAATTGGGGAAAGGGAGAGCTCTCTCCATTCTTTACCTGAGGAGGAGGAGGAGGAGGAGGAGGAGGAGGAGGAGGAGGATTGAAGTAGAAAAGCTGTCCCTCCTCAGGGTGAATTCAAGGCCCAGAGTTCAGAGCCCATGATGGGTCAAGGAGCAGGCAATTCTGGCTTTCCCTGGACCTGAGAGAGAGCAGAAGTAGGCATGGCCTGTTCCAAGAGGGAAGGCAGTATGCCTTGCACGTGAAGCACTATTTTGGACATCCTTTGCTAGTTCTTCACAGCTAAAAGCCCTGGGCTTATAGTCAGAAGACTCATTTATGCAGTCCTGAGTGTCATTTCCCCTCTTAGTTTCTTCCTCTCAAATGTGGGGGTGGGAATGGGATTAGACTAGACAATCCCTAAGATTTCTTCCCTAGTGTTGACATCTTATATTCTAAGGCCCTTTCCAGCTCTTACATTCTATTTTCTGTGTCCTAAGGTCCCTTCCACTCCTGACATTCTATGTTCTATGTTCAAAGGCTCTTTCTAGTCCTGACATACTATATTCTGGGTCCTATGGTTCCCATTAGCTCTAATATTCTGTGCTTTGAGATCTTTTCTAGCTCTGATATTCTGTATTCTATGTTCCATGGCCCTCTCCCCATGCTGATTCTATGTTTTAAGGTCCCTTTCAGTTAAGATCCAAGAGGACACCCCAGGTCTGGGAAGAGGTAGGGATACCTGCTGGGCTGGAAGCCCAGGCTGCCCAGGGTGGGGCCCAGAGGAGAGAGGGCCTGCCTTCGGGAACAGGAGATTCCCTTTAGGTAGTGGTGGTGGGGGGAGGGCCGAGGCACCCACCCTCCTGCAGCAGCCGGGCTGGGGGTGGGGACCGGGGAGGAGGCGTCTCTGGGTTTCATGAGATGTGTTTCCCTGGTGAGCGCAGCCTCTTTGCCATGGCAACTGTTACCAAGCGAACCAAGGGCTCTCTCGCTCTCCCTCTCCCCGAGCCCGTGCTGGTGTGTGTCGGGGAGGGGGGGGAGAGAATGAGGATTGGGGTGAGGGGGTGCTCCCTGAGCTGCCGGGCGCTGTGTGCAGGCAGCGTGGTGGTGGTGGGGGAGGGCGAGAAAGAACCGGTCCTGGCCAGAGCCCGGGGCACGCAGACCCCTGCCTGGCACACACCCACCTGCCTCCTGGCCAGGAATCCTCAGGGCTCCCCCTTTCCCTGCCGCCCCCCCCCCACCCCGCGGGCCTAGGAGAGACCCCTACACTGCCTTGGCCCTCTGCCCTCCTTCCCCCCGCGGACCGCGCTACTTACGGGCCCCGGCATCTCCTCTTTCTCTTCCTCCTCCTCGGGCTGGTCGGCCGGGTGTCAGGGCCGGGGACCTGACAGGGCCGGGGTTCCCGGGCCAGGGACAGCCCAGAGACAGCAGGTTCCAAGCTCCAGTCTCGAGCTTCCTGCGCGCGGGCGCGTGCACCAACACACAGAGTGCACACTCACACATGCATGCACACACACACACATGCACACACAGACAGACAGACACAAGCCCGGAACAGAGCGTGCGCGTGCCCAGACAGGAGCCCGCGCGCGCACCACGAGCCCTCCCCTAACCAAACCCCAAACTCCACACCCTCCCCGAGGAAGGACCAGCCGAGACGCGACGCTGGAGAGCGCACGCCCGGCACAGCGCCCCGGCCCCGGTCACTGCACACTCACACCCTGCTCTGCTCATGCACTGACATACTTGCTACAGGCACACGCGCGCGCGCGCGCGCACACACACACACACACACACACACACACACATACACACACACACACTGCACTGAACAGCACGAGGGCTGGGGGGTTGGGGGATGAAAACGAGGGGAAAGTTTGGAACAGTACAGAAAGGAACAGGATTGTCAACCCTGCTGTATCCAAGCAACCTGTTTTCTCGACTTTTTCCAGGTATGCTGACCAGCCTGGTCAGGGGAGGGAAGAGAGCAGATAGGAGCTCTGTAAAGAATACAGGAACCAACCGTGGGCCTTCCTTATATTTGATCAGCAATCTGCTTCTCTGCTTACAGCTGGCCCACCATTCATTTCAACATTTCAAGTCAACTTGACAGACATTTATTAAGTGCTTGTGGTATGCAGACATCTGTGCTTGAGTCCCTGCCTTTATAGAGCTTATAGTCTATCGAGGAATACGATGCATACACAGGCATTTCAATTTAATTCAACTTGCATTCCTAAAATATACAAAGCCCGATAGATAACTTCTCTGATCTTTGATTCCCAACCAAGGCCTGAAACCCACCTCACTCCTGAGCTCTCTGCTCCCTGAGCCTGCTGGTCTTCCCAGCCTCTGGCTTCTGCTGCCCCATTTCCAACCGGCTGTCTTCATTCCTGTACTGCTGTCACAGACTCAGGATGCCCTCCTCTACACAGCCAGGACCACAAGAGGGCGCCCCTAGAGCTCATTTACAAGGGAAAGGGAAATCAAGAAATAATATGCCAGGGCAAAAATCATTAGAAGTATGAATAAATCTGTCAAGTCCCAGACAAGGTGGGCTTCAGCTTTCTAAAATATTCTATAGTGAAACCTACCCCAATCCTCCCTGACTCTTCTTATTCCTCCTTACAACTGAAAAGCTCTAGTTCCCTCAGGGGCCCAGAAGAGAAGAGCATCTTTTTTTGTTTTGTTTTTCTTGTTGTTGCTTTTTCATGAGGCCATTGGGGTTAAGTGACTTTCCCAGGGTCACATAGCTAGTAAGTGTCAATTGTCTGAGGGTGGATTTGAACTCAGGTCCTCCTGACTCAAAGGCCAGATCGTTCCACTGCACCACCTAGCTGGCCTGAGCGTCTTTCTTTTAGAAAGCACCCTACCCCAATTTGGTGTTATCTCACCTGTGCTTTCTGGACCAACTTCACTTGTCTATTCTTCTAATTCCAGGCTCACTCCTGGCTAATCAGGGAGCCTGCTGATGACAGGGGCAGGCTTGTGGTGCCCCACCCAGAACACTCCCTTAATTCCTCTGGCTAATTGATATTTTTAGGATCATAGGATTTGAGAGTTGTTTTGAGATTAACATGGCCAAAGATGACACCTGCCCTGTCTCCTAGCTATTAATCTTCCTATGTTTACCTAGGGTGGGCTTAGAGAGCACAGACTGACATTGGAATTGTACTCCAAGCCTTTACAGCATGGTAGAACTTGCTGAGGCCTGTGCTCAACTAGCAGTCTTCAAGAACCTGGGGTCATCCCGCTCAGGCAGAAGCGTCACAGGGAAAGGATGCCCTGTGGCTCTTGGCAGCTCGGCGGCACCCCTGACGCACTGCACAAAGGGTGGGTGCAAATAAGATCGGTTGTCTGGAGATGGATTTGGATGTGTCATATAGCCAGAGCGAAGGACCAAAGGATGGACAACCTGTGTATGCCATTGGTACCCAGGTACTGAAAAAACATCTAAAGTAGGAGTTTTAAACCATTTTTGGTCATGGATCCTTTTGGTAGGCAGTCTGGAGAAGCCTGTGGATGCTTCAGAATAATGCTTTCAAATGCATAAAATAAAATACTCAGGAAACCAATTATCTTGAAATAATGATCAAAATAGTTTAAAAAATGTTCATGGACCCCCTGAAATTATCTAGGGACCTCTTTGGGGGGTCTGTAGACTCCAAGTGAGTGGACCTATTTACAGGAGGGCATAGCCAAGATTTCCACAGGATGTGGAGGTGTGGATAGGTTATTCCATGCATGATCAGAGGGAATTATTCCATTGGTGAGATCACAGATCCATCAGTGAACTAAAAAGGCTTTTAGAGCTGGAGGAAAAGTAACAATCCAGTCCAATATTCTCATTTTATGGGGGAGAAAACTAAGGCCCAGAGACAGAAAGCCACTTGCCTACAGCTACATATGGAATGAGTGGCAGAATCAGGTTTTGAACCCAGGTCAAAACTGCACTTGTCTTGACGGAGGAATGAACAACGAAATACAGGCAAATAGGATAGTTTTCAACTGACTCATAGGTGACCCCCACAGTTCAGAAGCACCTCTTCCTTTACAAAGGATAACCCCATCTCAAGGACTTGTATAATGGGTGTGGAAGGAGTATATTCTAGGGAGATAGTGAATATGTTAAAATACGAGACCAGGGCTGGGGGGAGGGATCTATGTTGGCTAGGGAGGGAAAAGAAGCCAGAAGAGGGTTGATGAATGGCAAGTTAAGGATTGAGGTACCAAGATCCTAAAGAGGGCAAAGAACAGATCTTAGAGGAATAAGGGAGAGAAAAGATAGAAGACTTAAAATCTGTGAAAATCCCTTCCCCTATTTGGGCCTCAGTTTTCTCAGTTGTAAAATGAAGATGACTTCTAAGATCACTTCCAACTTGAATATTCTATGATTCTAAGGATAGAAAACTATGGTCATAGGGGAGACTCTTGGAGTTCCAAGGGGAGAGGAAGGAAGACTTTGGTTAGTGCTGTCAGAGGACATGGTATCCAGGGAGCTATTGAAAAACCTTCCCTTCTTTTTTGAAAACATTCTTCAGTTTCAAAGAAACCATCTTCTACTGCCTACCTCCCGTTCTAGGGCTCACCCTTATAAACAAGGCCAAGGGAAGAGAGAGAATAAGCATTTATGTTGTTGTTATTTATCCTTTGCGTTCAAAGAGGACCAATGACATCGAGATGTTAGGGTAATGTCTTGACTTGTCTGTGAATTGGGTTTAAGTGAGGCACAGTTGCACAAAGTAATCAGCCTCATTTTCTCTTCCAGTCATCAAAGTCTAGTGGCAAGACAAAAATCAGGATGACCGGCGATGTCCCAGGATGATCCCGTGGCATCTTTGATGTCTCAACCAAGCTCTGAACACATCCACAGCACCTGCTTCAGTTGCCTTCATGGCTGTTGGAACAAAACATTCTCATTTGCTCATTCTGCCAGGGAGGGGGATTCTCACATGAGGGGTAGACATCCCCCTAACTCACCAGTGGGTCTGAGGCCTATTGGTTACCCTCAACCTGGTTTAGCTTGTCTGCTGAGATGGTTTTATTGGAGTGTGGCTGCTGCCCTTGCTACAGCTTCTTGGAGCCACAGGTGAGAGCTGGGTGACAGGGGGACATCAAAGGTGGATGAGAGCCCTGAAAATGACTTGGCAAGCCCTCATAGCAGAGGTGCTAGTTCTCCCTGAACACCTCATACACCCCAAGCATTTATATAGCACTGTGCTATGTGCTTTTTACAAACATTATCTCATTTCATCCTCACAAGACCCCTATTTTATTATCGCTACCTTACAGTTGAGGAAACTGAGGCAAACAGAGGTTTAAGTGACTTGCTCAGGGTCACACAGCTAGTGGGTGTCTGAGACCAGATTTGAACTCAAGTTTTCCTGACCCCTGGTCCAGCACTCTATACAGTGCACCACCTGGCATAAGATACCAAGTACTGGAAGTGGGGTAGGGAGAAGGTTATTGCTGTGCCAGGCTTAAAGCCAGGCCTGGAAAGGGGAGGAGGAGAAGGAGGAGTTTAGCCCTGAGCTTCACTCACTAAACTGCCCAGTTCTCAGGAATGCAGTTATAATTTCACTAGCACTTTACTTATACAAAGCACCTCTCTCTTAATGGCCCTGAGGTGGGTAGTATAATTATTACTCCCATTTTACAAATGAAGACACTGAGCCCTCAGTTGCCAAATGTCACACAATGAACTAAGTATTTGGTCTGGGACTCAGTCCCAGGCCTTCTGGCGCTCAGGCCAAAGCTCTCTTCACTGTTTCTCTAGGGAACCTCAGTCAAGCACCCACATGCTTTAGCAGATAGAACCAGGGAGGCAGAGGATTACTTTGGCCCTGATGTTGTCAGGTTCATTCAGTCTCCTCCACTGATTTTCTTCTGCCCTGGAACTTCAAGGGCCATGCCAGGATCTCACCAAGGCCCTGGCTGTGAGTAAGGGAAGCCCCTTTTCCTTAAATGATGTGGTCTTCTGGAAGCAACCAGTGGTGGGCAATAGGCCCATTGTAAATCTTTTTGGGGGGTGGGATTTGAAGTAGCAGATACACCTTTGATGCACATCAGTGGAACTAGAAAGTGTGCCCTGGGATACTTTGGCTATCTCTCCACCCACATGTGCCTGAGGAAGGAGAGGTAAGGTCAGACAAAAGGGGGCACTTCAAGACAGAGCCACAGACATTTAGAGTAGTAAGGGAACCTCAAAGGACTGTCCAGGAGAGTAGAATGAACCTTGGCTTTGGAGTCAGGAGTCTTGGGTTCGAAACCTAATTCTGCTCCTTGCTTAGTTATGTGTTTCTAGGTAAGGGGCATCACTTATCCGGGCTTCCGTTTCCTCATGTGTAGAGAATGGACCTTCTTCTAAGGTCTCATCCAGAGAATAGTCCAAGCTCATCATTCATACAGGATGAAACTCAAGACCAGAGAGAAATAACTTGATTAAAGCTGTGCAACGTAAAAGGCAGAGTTGGGAGTGGACCCCAGCCCTCCTGATTGAGAAGCCAATACCCAGAATGGGAAATTAGACTGGGTCAAGGAGGTAAATACAGGGCTCGAGGGCTGCCCTCATGGGTAGCCAAGGTAAGGAAAGGGTAATCTAGCTGCAGTATGTAACCAGGCACACTGGGGGAAAACTGTTTTTACTTTGCACTCTTGGTCACTG